TTGAGGCCTCCTCCACATTGTTTCTGAATTTAGGTCCATCTTGGTGATTTTCAGCTGGGGTGCTGCAAAATTCAGAAAAGTTATGGTGTTATTTTTAGCAGTACATCTCAGCACTGGTATGATTTCCTTTGGCAGGGGAATGGAATATATTATCTGTTACAAAAGTGTGTGTGCGCGCGCACCTTTTTAGGTGTAAGAGTGATGTGTGTGATCAGTTCTAATCCAGAAGAAAGTGTGCCCAAGGTATCAACAGTTTAGGAAAAACTGACCTACAGGCTGGCTGGGGGTTGGAATTTTTCCCTTTGTGCCAGCATTTCCTATCTATTTTGCAAGGCAGAGAGATGAGTAATAGAAAGCTAATGCAATGTGAACGTAAGCACAGTTTGGTTTTGGAATAAACGCCCACAATATCCTCAAGGTATAAGAATGTTTGCTTCCAAATTCTTTTTCATGTAACATGCACCAATAATGACACAAGTTTTCTGCCTTTCTGATGAGACTGGAAATACAGCACTGCTTGGTAGTACCTATAACCATTATTTTATATAGGAGACAATGGAAAATGAGAACCAGGAGGGTGAGGCGGTACATTACCGTGAGAGAGGCATGGCCGCGCCCCCTTGGACTGTGTCGCATACACAGGGGGCATCTTTACATGTGCTCTGGGGTGACGGGAAGGAGCTTTATTTAGGTCAGCTCCAAGAGCCACTTTAACTAAAGTGCCTGCAGTCTCGCATGTATTCGGTGTCCCTCATTTTAAAATGACAGCGAGGGCATCTTAACTAAAGCTTGTTCAATGAGCTTTAGTTAAAACGCCTCCACCCCCATTTTGAAGCACAGGGCAACGCTGAATATACATGATGCAGAGGTTGCTAGAATGTTAATTAGTACAGTCCAGCAGACTCAATTGAGCAGATGTCTGGCACATGTATTGGTGCTTGGTGAGCTCAGATCCTGGATCCATGCAAGCTGCGAACTATGCCCTATGTTAGAAGTGGACTATTTTTAGAGGAGTGGAGCAGCCACAGTTCCACTTGAAGATACTCAGATTTTTTTTTTTTTAAGTAATTTTATTTTATTTAGGTGTGCAAGTGATGGGCTTTAAGGCCATACCTGAAAAAGGATTTGAGTGCTAAATGTTTGGCAAGTGATCTTTGAAATTAAATCCAGAACCTGGTGCTAGCCACCTAGGCTCCATTCAGGAACTCTAGCTTTGGGGAGCTACTTAGAACTAGCTAATAGGAAATGGTGAGGTAAAGGTTGTGTCTAACAGATCTCCAGTCCCTAGAGCTTAACCTCAACACTCAAGGTCACAGGAAGGTGCTTTAGTCCATTTGGGATCCAGAGCCTGGAACTCAAGGCTGGTGCCCACTTTTATAAGAGAGTCTAGTGCGTAGAACAGTTGTCCGGGATCTGAGATTTGTTTAGTTCCTGCTGAGTCTAAGGAAGTTCAAAACCACATCTCCCACCTCACAGGGGAATGCCCTAATCACCTGTTGGCTTATTAGGATGTTGGTGCTCTCCGACACTCCTGTTTAAAATTTGCAGCAGAGTTCAAGATTCATAGTCAAAGCACAAAAGGTGACATACTGATACAAAGTTGGTGGTTAAGCCACTTTCCTGGAAGGTGGGGGAGGGAAAATCCTGGGTCTGTGCTCCAAGGTTTGTTTTTGGCTCTTTTCTATATTATTTATTAAATAGTTATTAGATTAAAAACTACAAAAGTGGGAATCCTGGGAGTTTCATGACTCCTATTATCCATTGACTTAACAGGAAGTACAGAATCAGCCCTTGTAGCATAGACCCAAATCCAAGACTCTTCCCTTCCAGGTGTGTGCCATAACAGCTAGGGTGAACAGGCCACATCCTTCTGGTGTTTGCCCTTTTTGGTTCCTCAGATTTTGAATTCTTTGTTCTACTACAGCACATTTTCAACAGGAAAGGGGGAAGAGTACCCTGGCTTGGTGCTTAGGGTACTCTACTTTGGAGGTGGGAGATGTAATTTAAACCTCCAGGGGCTAGGAGAGGACCTGAACTCAGGTCCTCTGTATGAGTAAGCTCACTTTTAGGCTATTAGGACTTTTAGGCACCTTGTTCTCTTCCAGCCATGCTTTAGAAGTAGCCTCAATTTATTGTAGGGAGACTAATATCGTTTGTGTGCAATTATTCTTGAAGCACATCTATCAGATAGGGCCTGTCATGGCATTTAGGTGGAGAAATGCCTAGTTTCTGGACCCTAATTGGGTTTGGATGGAGACTGGGCACCAAACTACTCAGACTGGGGTTGTGGTCAGACTCCAAACAGAAAGTTGAGAAATAAGCATTTTCAAATAAAAAAGGGAGGTGCTTCTTCAGTTCAGACACTTCTATGTTAGACTCCAGTGATTGGGGAGTTTTTGGATTGCAATTTTGGATACAGATTTTGCTTCCTGCATCCTGCTTTAATTATCTAAGCCCTCTGTTGGATCTGTTGTGTAGGTACTAAGTTTGAAAACGTTAGTTGTTATGTTTCAATCATAATTTAATAAGCAGGAAAAAAGATGTTGCCTCTGCAAACATTTTATGTATGTGGTTTATAAAGTTTAAGTGTTCTAGTACTTGAATGCAATTGTTCTCAAGGTTTACCTGAATAAAATTATGCATTATAATGTGTTGTTAATTTAGTCATTAGATTGCTCTACATATGTATGTTTGTGGTCAACATTTTAATATTTTTTAAATGTATCCTTAGGTAAAAACATCAGAATTTTATCGATACTCCCGGCAGCTGCGACAGGAGGTTGACCAAGCCATGAATTACTTTCATAATGCTCACCAACAGCCTTTGATGGAAATGAAATCGAACAGAATTCGTTCTGCCAAGCCACAGACTGCAGTATTTAGAGGAATGATAGGACACAGCATGGTAAATAGCAAAATTCTTCTCTTGCACAAACCAAGGGTCTGGTGGGAGCTAGAAGGTCCTCAAGTACCTTTGCGACCAGACTGTCTTGCTATTGTTAATAACTTTGTGTTCTTGTTAGGCGGGGAAGAATTGGGGCCAGATGGTGAGTTTCATGCTTCATCCAAAGTATTTAGATATGACCCAAGACAAAATTCTTGGTTGCGAATGGCAGACATGTCTGTTCCACGTTCAGAGTTTGCTGTTGGCGTTATTGGGAGATACATTTATGCAGTGGCTGGGCGAACCAGGGATGAAACATTTTATTCAACTGAGCGGTATGATATCACTGAAGACAGGTGGGAATTTGTGGATCCCTATCCAGTCAATAAATACGGACATGAAGGAACTGTGCTGACTAACAAATTGTACATCACTGGTGGAATTACATCATCTTCAACTTCTAAACAAGTGTGTGTGTTTGACCCAAGTAAGGAAGGGACGGTGGAACAGCGAACAAGGAGAACTCAAGTGGTCACTAACTGTTGGGAGAACAAATGCAAAATGAATTATGCAAGGTGCTTTCACAAAATGATTTCCTATAATGGTAAGCTGTATGTCTTTGGTGGTGTCTGTGTGATCCTGAGGGCCTCCTTTGAGTCTCAGGGGTGTCCCTCTACAGAGGTTTATGACCCAGACACTGATCAGTGGACTATTTTGGCTTCTATGCCAATTGGTCGGAGTGGTCATGGTGTAGCTGTTTTGGACAAACAGATAATGGTCCTTGGAGGCCTCTGTTACAATGGTCATTACAGTGATTCGATTCTCACCTTTGATCCAGAGGAAAACAAATGGAAAGAAGATGAATACCCCCGGATGCCCTGCAAGCTGGATGGCTTACAAGTGTGCAGCTTGCACTTTCCTGAATATGTACTGGAGCATGTTAGACGTTGCAGCTAAAACAAAGCAAAAAAGCCCAATACAAAAATTATTCTTTATTTTACAGGGAATTGAAGCAGATTTAAATCCTTTGAAGACATTCATTTGTAAACTTCTGTTAAGTTCATAGAGAAATGGGGTATACAGGGAAAGCATCTACCACATGGATTAGAAATGCTAATAACTGGTCTGGTATTGTGAAAGGTTTGTTTTTTAAACCTACATCATTAGTCTATGTAGGGGAAAAGGAGAAAAATCTATTTTTCAATGTGCTTACTTTTTCTTCCTCTTTCTTTGTGGCCTTTTATGACCATGCAATAAGTTTGTTCTGTTTGATGGCCGTCACAGAATCATGCTTCTGGAACCAATTGACTATAGTGAACCATTTATGGGAAGGGGGACGGGGCGAGGATAGATATTGTGCGTTTTTATTTTCTTATTTTATTAAATGTCAAAATAGGATACAGCAGCCTTACGAGGGAAAGACTTAACTTAAAAAGCAGTGAAAATACTCTCATTTTGTTCATGTAAGCTGTCTTTAACCATTTTCCCACCATTTGACTATTTGCAGTCCAGTTAGACATTATCATTTTTTCCTCCATAAATACATTTAAAAATGGTCTTAAACTTTTTGCATGGCTTTTTCTGGTTTTGTGTAGCCGTACCAGTAAGTCTGTCAAAATGCAAATGATACATTTTTCTACTAAATTGAAAATGAAACACTTTTTTATACTTAAAACACTCTTTCTATGCTGCCTTCTATCGTCTGCATTGTGTTTGTTGGTGCGTAAAATATATACACACACGCATACACTTTTAAGATCTATATATATAATGCATCTTTTTATGTGCAGGTAGGATATTCTACTTTAACTAGTGCACAGATTCAGCCATATCTGGTGAATTTTAGATATAGTAGTATCCTTTAATGAATTAAATATTGACAAAATTCTTAAATTACTGGAGGCCTCGTTTGGTATCAAAGTAGCTTATCTTTAGTATATACTGAGTGATTCAGTCACATATAAAATCTTTATAATAATGATGCATAATGAGCTGTTAACAATTTGACATTTTATAAGTTATTTTTAAAAAATAAATATCTTACTCAAGTTTCAGTCCTTCAATTTTGAACATTGCCCATTTTTTAACAGAAATCAGAGATGTGTTAGTAAGCATGAACAATCCTGCATTAATGTCCAGTTATTTTCAGAACTGAGTATAGTATAATTTATTTTTAACAATGGCATTGCTTGTAATGGTATTGAAGCAACAAAATCTTTTTTCTTTCTGGCCCCAATTGTCAACTGACATGAACTATTGTGTTTTTAAAACGTAGAGTTTGGTAATTGGACACCATCTACCATTTCTTCTCCTTTTTACAAGCCAATCCACAAAACTGTAGATACTGACTTTATCTCCCCTGAATTGAGATTTGTGATTCAGAGGAGCCTAAGTAACTGCAGCATGTTGCAGCACTTTTTTAACTTGTTTGATTTTTGCTGACAGATGGGTGAGAATATCCACAAGTATAACCACGGTTAAAAAGTTCAAATCCTAATTCATCTGTGCTCATGTGAAATGAGCATCTTTTAGAATCAAGAGGAAAAATGTTGGCCCTGAGAAGTTCAAGGCTGACATCAACCTCAGATACACAGATGCAAACTGCTGAGATAAACACCTGCGTAACTTGTGAAGTATGATGTTTGTGTGCTTCATGTATGCAGTAGATTTTAGAAGATAGTGCGTATAATGGTTGAGAATTAATTTTGATTTTAGCATCTCCCAACCAGAAGTCACTGTAGAAAAGGAATGTACAGTACTCAGGGAGTTCAAAGCAATGCACTTACAAGGGACCAAATACACCCCAAATTTACTGTGGTAAAATGCAACTAATTTATTTGGCTAGACTAAATTAGAAATGGCTAATGGAAATAAACCTATTTTGTGATGGGTACTATGCTTACCTTTAATGTTATTTTTTGTTTCCTTGTAATAATATTTTTTCCAAGCTTTCAGTTTAAGATATGTGAGGATATGGAGATATGCATGGCAAATTTGCAGATTTTACTTTATTTTTTTAATTTGCACTGATTCTACAAAATAGAATTATTTCTGTAGTATTTCATTGAAAGAGAGAGGATACACAACTATAATTGCAATGTTAAAAGTTGTCTAAGCCAACCTTTGGCTGGACCAAATGTTGACATCTAGTCTTCCAATATAGACTAAGGCCTAAAATTAAATGTAAATATCTGCTTTTTGTTATCCAGTATTTTCCAGTTTCCAAAATGTGAGTTGTAAGTTGTTGTTCTCAAAAATATTTTTTTTGGCATATATCAAAGCTCCCATCTTTCCATGAAATTTATGCTCGGGTATAAAGGTCCACTGGTATCAGTAGGGCTCTAAGCTTATATGCAGGTGCCTACATTCATCTGATTGAAGAATCAGGGCTCAAGAAATGTTATCTCATATTTTCCCCCGGTTCTTGCTCCTGCTATAATTAGGTAATTTCCTAACATGTTAACTATATTAAGTAGCAAAGAATAATTCTGCTTCCTAGTTAGGCTTGTACAATCCCTTCTTGAATCCCTTAATGTATAGTCCCTTTATGAATAATATGGCTGACTTCACCCTGTTCATCTTGGGGTGATCCAGGGACTTGGTGTGGTTCTAGAAATTTGGTCTTTTGTGAGTCCAGTATATTAGAATAAAGAGAAATGGCCAAGGTTGTTGAATGGATGTATAGGGTTATGTTCCTGAGTCTGTGTTTAAGCACTTGCTTAAGTAGCCAGATCCTGTGGAGTCCTGAAAAGTCATCGGTACCCACTACAGTTGAAAGGGAATTCACTTTTGAAAACCAGAGCATGTATGTAGGTGATGTATTTTAATTAAATCCAGGCTTAACTTGAGGCACCATATTTTGGAAATTCTGCTCAAAGCTAGTAAAACTAATCCTGTAAAATCCTAACTTGAACTACCTTGGTTTCAGCTTCACTGAAATTGTCTCAACTAAGGTGCTGGCTGTAACTATCTGAGCATTAGGAATGACTGGAACTGCTAGATTTCAGAATGGATTGAATATGTAAGACTGTTTTGTTGTATTTTACCATGCTTATTTCAAACATGAAATATGTAATTAACTCACATCTTTTTTTTAATTATGTAGCTTTTGAAAAGGATTTATTTTTATTACATTATGGTATAGCTCAGAAGTTTTCCTTCCCCAGTGAAACGTTCTGTAAATTACTGTTAGTACTTCTACTCCAAATAACGTAGTCAGTTTTTTAAAAAAAAAATCAGGGCTGGCTAATCAAAAATTCTGTCCCCCTATCAAGATCTTTTGAGTCTGGTTATTAATTTATTGTAGGTTTTGTACCATTTCAATGCCTTTAGTTCTGTAGGCAACAGGTAAGTCTTACCCTTGGTTAGTAAATCTGCTTGTTTTATCTTTACCCTTGCCCCCACATTTTTCTTTGCAGTGCCAAGAAAGTCTGATTGCATGTAACACTACTTTTGAAACCCAGCACATAACCTGCTTGCTGTCTGAAGCAAACGTAATGCCTCTGTGTTTAAAAATAAAGGCCACTGTGAGTAAAAGGCCAACCTATACATTTCTCAATTAATTCACAGTCTCAATGTCTAAGGCATGTAATTTGCCCTCCTGATTCCAGAGGGGAGTCCTGTTCCCTTGAATGCTGAGTACTCCAGGAGTTTTCATCTGGAGCTCTGGATGATCAGTACCTTGCCAGTTAAGGTTTTGTGGAACAGATTTACAGAAGCAGCTCAGTTTTCATTTTAAGTGTCAAAGTGGCCAAATTTTCAGCCTTTGGTCATTACTGTCACATGCAGGAAGGGGGCAATATTTGATATAGCAGAAGGAGGCAGCTATCATTTAGAAAGCACTGTTAGCCTGTGGCAATTTAAATTAGTCTTGAAGCCTATTTCCTTATGCTTGATGCTGTTAGAACACTTGAGAGCTTGGCTTTCTGTGATCTTACAGCAGTCAATTTCTAACCTTGGGTGGTTTGTAACCTTAATGCTGTCTGTGGGCCCTAATGTGTTCAGCCATTTTTCATCCTTCACCAAAAGCAAAGGATAAAATTAAGCAAAAATAGATTAAATTAATTTTAAAATAGAAATCAAATATATACATATATCCATCTCACTTATGATTATGACTACTACTTCACAGAGTGAGGGTGTTGGGGGTTCCAGCTGTTCTTCTTAAAACAGGAAACTATAAACCTTACCTTCGTTTTGTGAATGAGGAAAAAGATAAAGTAATTTTAAGTAACATTTTAATTTACAGAAATATTCTGTCTTTATTGAGAGATTATCTCTCCCCTCTTTCCCTTCTCCTTACCTCCCAACAAAACAAAAGTAGTAAAATTGGTCCCAAGTTCCATGAACACTTACTTAATTTTACATATGAGAGTAATCCCACAGTTGTAAAATTAAAAGGTATGTTAACCGGTTAAAACAAGGCATATATTCACATGTAAAATTAAGTCTGTTCTTAAGTGTGTTTGCAAGATTGGAACCTTAAAAAAAAACAATTTTCCTTTTCCAATTCCTCCTCTCTCCTTTTTCATTTATATCCAACACAGTACTTTGTGAAGCATGTTATATCATGATGGCAACACTTCCTCAAGGGGTGTGAAAACAAATTAAAAAGAAAAACACAAATAGAAAGATATCTGCTATTTAAAAAAAAGAAGCTAACCAGTATTTTATAACTAACAATGTGAGATTTTAATGATGTTTGTAAGACAATCTGACAATGCTCAAAATAAACACTAATGACTACTTTTGCCTCAGTATGTTATTTTTCAGGAGTTGTTAGTAACTTAATTTCAGTTTGTATAAGAGGTTAAATGCTGTGTTTGAATAAAAATAAAGGAACAACATTCATGGAATCTGTAATCTTGGCAAATGTAGTAGATGGCAGTAAAGTAGATTTATTAAATGTAGCTTTCCTGGACACTCCCTTTCCCCAAATTTCAGTTTTATATGCTCTTTCAATATTTTTAATGATAAAATTCAAGTAGCTATTGTTTTGTAATTGAGTTGGTAGCTAGGGGTAAACCACTTTCTGTTTCCAGTGATATTGTAAAATACTGCTCTGGTAAAAGTTGGTTTGGAAAAAGCCTAGAAAACAAAATGTTACATAACATTGCAAATAGTAGCAGTGCTTGGGGTAGGGTGAAAAGAAGCTAAGGGAGGGTGGGCTTTTTATTTTCTCTAGGAACTCCCCTAATATTAATTTAAGCTATCAGAAAAAATGAAGGGGAAGAGCAAACAAGCCTTCTGAAATCCTTTTGCCCCTATGTAGTACACTATTTCACAGATAATTTTTAAAACGTTTTTTTTTCTGGTGGGTTGAAGAATGTAGTTCCACTATAGTCTCAAATTTTCAGTGCACTGTATCAGATGGTTGTAATGTTTTCAAAATAAACATCTCCAGGAAGGTAATGGGAATTTTTATTTTCTAACTATGCCATGTGTACTGTAGCAATTGCAAGTTCTTTGCCTATTATATATATATAGAGAGAGAGAGAGATCTTTGTGTACATTTTGGATTGTCTAATAACCACCCAAGGACTGCTATATAAATCTTAGAATAATTTAAGTTTAGCCTTTTATAAATGTCTTACAAAAGCCTTTGTTTTTGGCAGAAAATAAATTTCCTCAGCTATGGATATTTGTTTAGACATGCATATGTGCTCCGTTGTTTTGTTTTTTTTAATGGGGAAAAATGTATAAAGTGTGTATAAAGAAAAGTGTAAATAAAATATTTTTAATCTTTAAACACATCCCTGTGTTATCTGTCAATATCCTTAGAGGCTTTTTCACAGGACAAAATGGGTCCACTTGGATAAGTAGTACTTTAAAAATATGAACACCCTCTGTTCTTGATGCTGCCATTAGTAATAGCCAGAGTAGCTTCAACAAAACAAGTTGCACATATTTGCCTATTTTATAGGCTTTGATTTTTTTTTGCCATATTTTACAGTTGTGCCCTTCAAAAACATTTTCTTTACAAATGTGTTTCTGAGTGTATTCAATGTGTTCCTTGTGGTCTGGACTTAAACCCCATTTGAGACAAGGAAGGCTTTTTAACTGTTTTGATCAGGCCCAAACATTTTCAAAAGAGATTCCTGTTTTGACTGTTTTTTTTCCAAGTGCAGAAAGTTGTTGCATCCTTTTTTCCCCCTGATTCTTCCTGGAGAATATGAAAACTAACATTTTCCAGAACCCTGCTGTCTGGTCTGTTGTCATAATTCATTGTTTGTCTTTTGGGCTTTCTGTTCATAGGTAAAAATTGCATCTTCAATTTTAGCAAGATTTAGGATTGTTATCAAAACTGGGCACAGTGATCAACAATATATACAAAAACAAATATAAAATGGCAGAGAGCTGTGCTGTAGTGCCCCCTGGCTTCTGGCTTGAGCCACTGTAGGCATGTGACTGCATTTTCTGAATCAAAGTATATTTCTGTCCGGTTGTTTTTTGGTTTAACCTCTGCAACTTAGACTAGCTTGCAAAGACTGCATTGATTCAACCATGGGCTTGTTGACTGTTTGTACTTACTGGGTTGTACGGCTGTCTGTGATACAGCAGAATGAGCTCGCTCACTCTCTCTCACTCTATCCTGGGATTTATTCTTCCCCTTTTTCACAGCCCATTCACTCCCTGATGCCACTCTTCTGTCACCTACTCAGTATAATCACCTTACTGCAGTAGCTTACTTATATGTTGTGTCTTCCTGAAAAAGTAAATGCTTCTTCAATTTAGTATTCCTTTTCAGTACTGATTTTTCCATCTACTGCTTTTGGACTATTCTGTACTTTTCCAACTCCAAACCCCATCAATTTTTGTCACCATTAGCAATTTGCCTCCCACTCCATTTATACTGAACACAAGGAAAATCGAGCACCACTCTGTAAGGTTTTCTATTTGGGATCTCTCTAGAGTTACAATACATGCTGCTTTGGCCACTTTGCCCAAGGGCACCTATTGAATAAAGCAAGAGTGTAAGAAAAATTAAAAGGACTTTATCAACATTATTCCTGAAGAACTTAAGGTACAGGAATGTATGTCTGGTAACTTGACTGGGATTTTCCAAATATTCAACAAATATCCTGGAATATTCAATTTGTAGGAAACTTATATTTACTGATGCATTTTATTTCTACGCACATGTCCACTTGGTATTGCTCTGTGTTTCGAGTAGAGCAGGGAGAGCTTTATTTGCTTTTTAAGTATTTCATTTGATCGATCATTTGCATTATTTAGTTTTAAGTGCATCTTTAAAAAGGAAACCATTTGGATGATAGGAACATGAGATAGATCAGATATTTTTATTCCCACCCTCTGAATTCCATCTGCTATCTTCCACCATGCAGATTTTGCCAAATCGGGGAAAAACATGGATCATTTTAGTTGGGCCATTATGTTTTCTTTATCCCCAGCACTCCAGGCCTACTTCCCTCCACCTCTTTTTCCTTGCTGCTGAAAACATAAATTGTTTAAGCACCCTAGTGAAAAGGCATTTGAAACTTCCATGTAACGCATTTCAACAGAAGTAGGGAAAGATAATTCACACCAGGCTGCTCAATTAAGAACCAGCTACAGCTGTTTGCTGAAGCTTTAACTTCTAAGACACTGCTTCTCCAAACAGCTGGAGTTCATCAAAGCTGATCAGAGAAGCAGCCCCCTTTGAAATAATAGCAGCATCAAATAGTTGTAGCACCTAAGCAGTCCTGTGCAGCTGTTTGCTGTGGCTATATATACCCCCTCCCTAGTTTACAACCCCTCAGGGGCTAATGAACGTAGCTTTGCAAAGAATGTATTCTGCTGTATCCTCTGATATCAGTAGAAAGTCTTTTGAATTATAGCAGTTATTCAAAGGGAATAGGAGAGAGAACTGGTGTTTGGATGGCTTGTAACAAACCATAAACTAATAATATATCTGCTTTTTTCTTGAATCAGTTAATTAACATTTCTGGAATGCAGGTGGCAAAGAGGTCACAGCCACTTTTATACTTAATACCAGAGAGAATACTTAATACTTAATTTCAGAGAGAATGCCATATATCCTGTTATAAATGACAACACAAACATAGACTAAATTCTACTCTAAGATGTGTACTTGCACAACACTTATATGGTTAGTGGAGTTTGCGTACATGCGGCTGAGATTCTGGCATAATGACAGTTGCACTTTCTGCCATCTCCACAGTCAGAGTGAGAGTGCACGGGGCAGGGGAAACAGCTTTTTTTGAATTATGGTGCTTACCAGCATAAATACATACCGGTTGCAATTGCACAATGGAGATGAAGGGTACAGCAAAGCAAACAACAAAGTTTATGGGCATACAAAATTCAAATTTGTATTAAGTGAATACTTGGGCTCTCCCTAAGAATAAATGTTTTCAGAGCTGATGTCGAAGGCTTCAGACTTTTTTTTGTCATATGCAAGTCAGGCACCTATTCAACTGTAGTTTCCCAGGCAGGTAAGTTTTCTTTCTACAGTGCCATAGCTGTGTATTTTGATGTTTCCAAAATAAAACCTGCATGATTTGTCATTTCTTTCTGTGAAGTGACACAAAGCAGTAAGCTAAAAGTCAATGCTCCTGTCAAAAGTATACAACAGGTAGGGTGAGCTGACCACTCAGTCACTGTCAGCACTGCTGGCAGCACTTCCAGCAGTCTGGATTTGTCTGATTACTTTTATATTGGTTAATGATGATTTTAGGTAGATGTGTTATTGTTAAGGCTGGGGTTAGTCAACAGTAGACCAACACCAGTATTACATGATGTTTAAATCCGGCAGCTGTGTTTTAGCTTTCACTGTTGTTACTCAGGTGATACAGATGCAAGTCTCTGTAGGGGAGGAGGGGACTGTGCATGTCCCTTCAAGATTTTAATCCCCATAGTGATAGGGTATCACAAATTCGATCCATCTAGCACTTGCAGCAGCAGTAGTAGAGAGAAGTACAAAGCAATCAGACTGGCTAGGTTAAAAGTTCACAAAAACATCTTCATTCTCACTGCTTATTAGCTGATATTCTGTTGTACCCAGTACTTCAGACTGCATTCTGGTGAAGTCACCATCATACCATTATTTAGCGGCCTGAGAGCTTAACTTCTAGAAGTGTGCATATACTTTCAATCACTGGGTCTGAATGAAGGTCTCTTCCTAGTCTGAGTTCTGAAAAATATTTTCCAGGACTTGAACACTTGAGACTTCTGTATGTGTGGGGTTATATAGCAGACACCAAATATTTGATCAAAGCTAGTCCAGATTTATCATCTAAATTGCGGATTTAAACCGTTTTAATTCTAGTTCTGAATGCAAAGCAAATGAAAATACTACTAGTACAAAATATATTACCATCATGTGTGCCAAATTTTGTTTTTAGAGCTTATTCCTTCCCCTAATTTGCCCTTGGTGTTGAAAATACATGCTGAAGTTTGCATCCAGTTTTTAGTTCCAGCTTCAGCTCGGCGCATAGAACGTGTTCAGGCACAGATCCAGATGGCTGCAGT